AGCCCTCTCTCGCTCGTTCGGCCGCCTGTCCGCCTCCGCGCCTGCAGCGGGCGAATCTCCTCTGCTGGTGGACGGCTCGTCGACGCAAGTCGGCGATCTCTGTCGTCCACCAGTAGACGGCCCGCTGAGGCCGAGCTTTGGACCGGGGCATCGCAGCGTTACAAGCCGCTGTTAACGCTGCCCCGATCCACTCGGCCTCTTGCAGGGGGTCCGTCTCCCGAGTCTCGGGGAAACCTCCCCGGACCCAACAGGCGGCCTCCAACGAGCCCATCAGGGCGTCCTCGCAGAGTTTGCGGAGGGCCCATCGCGGTCGCGTCTCCTCCTGGCGACGCACGGAGGAGAGGACGCCGAGCTCCACCGATATATATCGATGGTCTGACAGAGTCTCGACGCCCCGCTCCACCCTCCACCCGGTGATCAAGCACGCGGCCGAGGGGGTAGCCCACGTGAGATCCACGATGGACTCCCCCTGCGTCCGCACGCAGGTGGGGGTCCGGCCCTCGTTCCTGAGGACCAGCCCGTGCTCCGCCGTCCACTCGTCCAGAGCCTCCCCCTTCCTGTTCGTGCACCGGGAACCCCAAATCGTGTGCCACGCGTTGAAGTCCCCGGCCACGAGGACCGGCCTCAGACTCAGACGTAGGACCGTCCGTCCTATGTCCGATAGCCAGCCCTTAAACAGGGCGAGGCGTCTGGTGGGCCTCAAATAGACCCCGACGACCGCGATGGGCCCCCATTGGACGGCAACATGCCGTTGTCCCCTTTCGATGACGGTCGTGTCGGGACCACCCGGCACCGACCGCCATCGAATCGCGACCGAGTCCCCCGCCTGCCCGTTATCGACAGCCCAATATGGGCTGTCTCTCGGGGGGCGGTGGGGCTCGGACACGATCGCTAGCGTGAAACCACTCCCCACCACGCTTTGTTGGAGCAAATCTTGCGCCTGTGGAGAGTGGTTCACATTGGCCTGTATGAGGCCAAATCCCCTCAGGTTCGGACGGGGGGGAGAGCGAGGCATTACTCAGCCCTATCATCCCCCCGTCCGATGGGGCCTCGACCTCCATGGCCTCCGGTGGAGGTGAGGCCCTCTTCCTTGACGCTCCGCTGGGTTGGCGCTGCGGTTGCGGCTCCTGGGTTGAGCCACCCGCTTCTTTCTTCTCCTCCTCCGTCGGTCGCGCTTCGGCCGGGGGGGAGCGCCGGTGGCAGGCGCCTGCTCTATGGCGCGCTGCCCCGGTGGCCTCCCACGCACGTTCTTCTGGGCGCAGGACTTTGCGCCCAGAACGTGCTTTGCCAGCCTGCCCTTGTCGGTGCGCAAAGGGCACTTCGGGGCAGACCGGCAGTCGCGGGAGGTGTGACCGGCTTCGCCGCACCGATAGCACCTCCCGCTTCTATCCCCTTCACTGGGGCACATCGCCCTCGTGTGGCCCCTCTCGAGGCACCTGTGGCAACGCATGGGCCGTGCCTCGAGGAGGGCCACTCTGGCCATCACCCAGCCAGCCCTGATTCTCCCCTGCTGGGAGATCTCCTTCGCCGCGGTGAGGGGTAGGCGGGCCCAGAGGCTAAACGTGCCTCCGGCGGCCGGCTGCAGCGCTCCGCATTGGACATCGGAGACGCTACACCGCGCCGCGTCGGCCACCCACCCCCTCACCTCCTCGACTCTCAGGGAATCGTCTAGGTCCCGCAAGCGGACCTCAGCCATCTTTCGCGGTCGGTCGACCCGCGTTCCCTCCTCCTCAGGGAGGACCTGCCTAATCCGCTCCGCGTGCAGATCGGCTTTGTCGGCATGGCCCTCCCCGGTGATCTCGATGACCCTGGCACCGGTGGCCCCAGATCTAATGTTGATCCGGCCCTCGATGCCAAGGTCATCGAGTTTAATGTTCTGCCTCAACATGGTAAGGGTCTCGCGGTAGCCGCCATTGGGTCGAGTGACTACTACGGCCGACGTCCGCGGGACCCTTCGCCTGGGAGCCCTCTTAGGCGCCCCACCGGTCTGCCCTTTCGCCGGGGGACCGGGGGCAACCGCCTTGGAGGCACCCTTGGCCGCCTTCTTCTCCGCGGCCCTACTTTTCCTCCCCAACACCGTCACGTATGTCTCAACACCCGCGGCGGGTTGGGGGGCTTGGCGGTCCCTTTGTTTGAGGGACCCGCCTCTTCCGCCCTCTGCGTCTGCCGCGAAAGGGGGACCTTTTTCTTCTTCTTCCTCTTCTTCTTGGTCCCCCCCGCGGCGTTCGCATCCTTCTCCGGGGGGTTTGTCCCCTTCGCTCCGCTCCCCTGGTCGGCCCCGGGAACCGGGCGGCCCTTTCGAGGGTTGGAGGGGGTCGCCGCGGGGCCGCTATCACGGGCCCCGCCACCAACCAAGGACCGGATCAAGTCCTCCATCCTCTGGAAGGACTCGCCGACCACCTCTCGAATCCTCCTCTCCACTATCTCCCCCGTAAGCTCCCCTGCCTTCCCAGGCAGGGGCTTCCCCGCTTGCTTCCGCGGGTGGGGGGACGGTGAAGAGGGGTCCTTCGCGGGGGTATTGGGATCGGCCCGCTTTCTCGAAGCGGATCTCTCCCTCTTCCCCACTCGCGCTTTCCCTCCCCCCGACGTCGAGGCCCGGGAGGCCGTACTTGGCGTGACGACCTCCCAGGTCTTTTTCTCCGGGGGCGCAGGATCCGCCGTCTTCCCGGGGGGAGGAGGGTCCATCGGCAGCCCGTCCGCGGCCACCTCCGGCATCTCCTCCTCCCGGACGTCCTCCCCCGAAGGGGTGGCGCTCTCCCCTGTCTGTGGTGGGCGGGGGGGT